GAGATTCAGAGCTGCACCCAGACTGTTTTACCTTGAAATAATCCCCAAAGGACCAGGACCCCAACATCTCAAAGAAGGTGTGGTGGTACACATCTTTGCCCACATCATCCAGGTCATTGTGCTTGCCCCCTGCTCGGATGCACTTCTGAGTGTTGGTGGCTCTGCTCAGCTTAGCGAGTGGGTGTGAGGGGTCGATGGTATTGAGGAAGATGGGTTTGAACTGCAAGGAGAGAAAAAGGACAAGTGAACTGCTAGAAAAGCTGAGAAACTGAGGAAAGCACTCAGAACCTGTTTTCAAATGTTGCAAGCAACAGCAAGGCAGTAAGTGTCATGATATCACTAGTCTGAACATACCCAAAGCACTTCCAGAAACAAACCTGCTGCTCCTGTCCATGAGAAGGCTGCCTAGAACTCAGCACTCATACACACACACAGGTGTTCCTAAAGCCCACCAAACCCCAGGCCTTCCAAAGGGACTATAAGCTGTCAGATTGCCAGCTGTCCAAAATAAAAAACTGGGTGCTGATCTGCAGCACAGCCCTTGCAGCATCCCAGTCTCAACCGCTCTTCAAAGACACCGTTATTCATTTGTGCCAGGACTGCTGTGGTACCAAGGGTCAAGGAAACGAGACTGGCAGAGCTCTCACCAGAGGAACCTGTTCCAGTGCTCTTGCCAATTTTGTGAGAGCATAGAGGACTCCAGAGGACACACCACCCATCTCCCTGTGACCAGAGGGAAGGTGGAATAAACAATTTTTCCAACAGCTCTGCAAACAGCTTCACAGGTTCCAACAGGGTATGTTTGTAGGACTGCAGTGCCAGCGTGGGAATCCTACCTGATTCATACCAGCATTGGCAAAGAGCAGTGTGGGGTCATCCAGGGGGATTGTGGAAGATGAGTGCACATAGGTGTGCTGGTTTTCCCTGAAGAAGTCAATGAACCGTTGCCGGATCTGGCTGGCAGTGAGCGGGGTCTCCATCTGGAAGCTGGAAGTTGCCACTGTCCAAAACAAGTGGCAGGAAAGTGGCAAAACGTCGGTGCAGTCTGAATAAATGAAAACAAACAACACTGATGTGTTGTCAGCTCAAGGTGAACATCAAGATCATTGTCTCCAACTCCTGAAAGGGTCTCCCCACATTGTTAAGTACTCACTGAAACTTCTGTTCAACCATCAATCTGCCCCAAAAATGTGGTGGCCCAAGCTGAAATTTCCTCTCCCCCAAATTCCCTGATTTCTGGGGCTCTACCTTAAGTTGCCTGTTGTTTGAAAACACATTGTTATAAAGTATCCAACTCACATGGATACTAAACTTAGCACGTTGTGTTTGCCTTACTGGGGACAGAGGGAGGACTGCCAAGTAAGTCACCAAAGCATTCAAGGGGATTAAATGCAGAGTGAGGAGACATCATTACAGCTTTCCACTATTTAAAGGGGCTTATAAAAATTATGGACAGCAACTTTTTACATGGGCAGGTAATGATATCACAGTTTTAAGGGGGAACACTTTTAAACTAGAAAATGAGAGATTTAGGTTAGATATTAGGAAGGAATTATTCCCTGTGTGGGTGGTGAAGACCTGGCACAGGTTGCCAAGAGAAGATGTGGCTTCCCCATCCTTGGAAGTGTTCAAGGCCAGGTGGGATGGGGCTTGGAGCAGCATTGTGTAGTGAAAGGTGTCCCTCCCTATGGCAGGGGTGTTAGAATCAGGTGGGCTTTAAGGTACCTTCCAATCCAAACCCTTCTGTGATTCAATGACTAAACCATAGAACAGCCAAGTTTGAAAATGACCTCTGAATATAGCCTCGTCCACCCTCCCTGCGCAAAGTACAGCCAGCTGCATGCCCGGAAGGCTTCCTTGAGGGGACCCACATCCCTACATGCACACCAGAGGCAAGTGACAGCCTGGGGGGCAGCACCGCCCGTGTCCTACGGGCACACAGGGCTGTCCCTGACAGCTCAGCGCAATGCGGATCCAGGGAGGGAGGCGAGTTCCCAGCAGCCTGCTGCGGCGCGGAGAGACGGGAACTCCCCGCAGGAGCAAGGCCTGGGAGCACTCACAGCACACAATCAATTGGGCTGGAAAAACCCTCTCAGATCATTGAGTCCAACCTCGATGCTGTAGGAGGGAAGGACCCGAGGTGGGGAGAACCAAACACAGCAGCGGCCCCAGGCCCTATGAGAGCCTCTGCCCAGACACAGCCGCTCTCCAGTGCCCGAGGAGCGGTGAGGGCACCGCGGTGTCCGGCAGCGCCGCCCGGCATCCCCCCGCGGGCCCGCGTGGGGCGCGACCAGCGCACCGTCACCCTCCCGCCCTGCCCTCTCCGTGCCCCTCTCCCCTAAGCCCGCGGGTCCCGGCGGGGCCATGGAAGCCAAACCCAACAGACGGAGCTCCCCACCCCCCTCGGGCCGTACCTGCGCGCCCACCGCCGCCCCTCGCTGCGCTCCTCCGGCCGCGCCGCAGCGCCGCTCCGCCCTGCCCCCCTGCCGGACACCAACTCCCATTGGTTGCGAGGGCTGTCACTCTTCTGCCAGCCCCACCCGTCCGCGCGGCGCCCCGCCCCCGGCTGATGCAATGGCGGGACACGGCGGCCACGTGACGCGGGCGGGCTGAAGCCTCAGTGGGTGCCGCCATTTTAGGGATGCCGGCCCTGCAGGCGCAGGGAGGTCGCCTAAGAAATCAGGTTCGGTCCCTGGTGTGCAACGAACCGATAATGACACATCGAGTGAGACATTGCTTGATTCAGAGCTGCCCCAGCCTGGGTGCTCAGTGGTATTCCATAAATCCAGCACACCCCGCTGGACTTTCCATGCTGTTATTTTTACACAGAAATTAAGGGTTAGTGACTTCTCAAGCACAGCCCTACTGTTAGGATTGACCAATACCTTCCATACAAATCACGTAACCTCAGCTAACTTCTCATGCTCAGGGCAAGGGTCTTTATGTGCGGAGGGTCTTTTTGATGTGGAGGTGTGATTTTCAGTGTTACAATAAAGATAGTTTATCTCTAACATACACGGACCTGGAGTATTTTGCCGAGTTAGCAACCCCTAAATCTTGTTAGTTCCAGAATGTCCTTGAGTGAGGGATGCTGGCTGCTGCCTCTTCCAGTGATTAGCTCTCCTTTCCTGCAGATTAGGCTTGAAAGTATACAAAGGTCTTACATCAAAGAACAGCCTGACTTAAGATAACACTGACACATTGCACATTTTGCAACAATGATGCTGCCTGCTGCCATGGAGGGAGCAGGGAGCTGTGGGGCTCAGCCAGGAAGGGGCTGTGGCAGAGCAGGAGCTGGCTGGGGGTGCTGGAGGGGTGAACAAAGCCCTGCTGGGGGATGTAACGGCTACAGGGTCCTTGCAGGGGTCTGCGGGGTCAAGGTCAAGGCTGTGAGATGCAGGAGAGGTCACTGCATGGCTCTGGTCATGGAGCTCACAGGAAGGGCCTTGTGGACCCAGGCCAAGGGGCACAGAATGTATACAGGGGAGGTGCCATGCTGACAAAAAAATCACTCTGAGGACAATCAAGCATTGAAAGGGGGTCTGGGAAGTCTACAGGATCCCTGGAGGGTTTTGAGGTCACTTTCAAGCCCTGGGCAGCCCGCTCTGAAGTCATTGCTGATCCTGCTCCTCCTGATGGGCCTTCGAGTAGAGTTCTCTCAGTTCCTTTCTGACCTGGACTGTTCCCAGGTGCCTCTGTAGTGTTGTAGCCTGGTCTCATCTCTTCCCTGGCGCATACTTTCTGGCCCTGGGCTGTGATTCTGGAGCTATGAGAGTGCCTGTGCTGCTGTCCTTGGCCACCATTGGTCAGCCCTTTCCAAAGGTCACTCCCCTGCTTGGCACTGGCCCATAGCCATTCCTGGTTGTGCAGCCCTCTTCGCTTGTTTCTGTTGTTTCCTTCCCAAGGAGCCTGGAAGGAAAAGAGGAAACTCCAGTCTAATTTGTTCTTAATGGGAGCTGTGCTCTGGATGCTGCTGGCAGAGCAGGCAAGTCTGTGCAGTGCAATTGTTTGTGCAGGTGATTACACCTGCAAGAACGTCTGCAACAGCAGTTCCAACTCCAACACCATCCAAATCCACACCCAGCATGCTTACCTCTCATGGGGGCCATAGTCTGTCCACCACCATGGAAGGAAACATCACTGCTTCTTCTCCTTCATGATCTGTGTCACCTGAAAGATGATCTTCTAAATTGTGGGGGCCCTTCACCATCTCCTGAGTGTTTCTTTGGTGATTGCCAAATGTGGAACCACTCAGCTACTTGGGGAATAGAGACTTCTGTCCCCTCTGCCACACTGAGCAACAGGTATGTGCCATGAGGCACATCCAGATGGGATGGACCCACCCCCACTACTTTCCTCTTTTTTCCTTCCCCACCTCATAGTCATGTTGCCCCAGTTCTTCTGTTTTAGCTGAGGCTTTTTACATGGCAGCTCTATGCTTCTTCTAACACTTCCACATCCTAGAAATCCATGCCCCCAGGCTGGCCTGGGTTGCAGCAGCCTTGCTTTTACAGGCATTTCTTCAGCTTATAAGCATCCAGCATTGTCCTCCAGCAAGGAGGAAGGTGATGGATGTGAGCTTGAAGCCCCAGCAGTCAGTGGTCAAGGCTGCAGGGAGTGGGGGTCCTTCTCTGCTGGCTCCTGGATGCTCTGGGGGGGGAGTGTTGGCAGGAGTGGAACAAACTGCACTCCGTGTGCTTCCCAGGCTGTGCTTTGGATTAGTGTCTCATAATTCAACCATCCCAAATTTACCCCCCAAACTAGGAGATTGCTGGCCACAGCCAGATTTGAACCTGTTCTCCTTTTCCTGGTAGTACTCTTCCAAGCCTGTGGAAGAGGTGGACCCTTCTGCTGTTACAGAGATTCTGGGAGCTGGGGCTTTAGAGGAGCATAGTGACAATGCAGGTGACATGCAGCCCCGTGTGTCAAATATCAGGGAGCCCTTGGTCCTCTTGGGACCCTGGTGGCTCTATTTGGGGCAGGCGAGGGGCCAGGTGCTGGCACTGTCCCAGTCCCCATGGGTGCCCAGAGCCACACCCTGGGCTGTGCCGGGCTCCTCTTCACGCCAAGCAGGCGGCAACCCTGCCATGTGTCACCGCCCGGCGCAGAGGCTGGGGACATGGCTGCGCTGGCTCGGAGCGTCCTGGTGACGGGGTCCAGCCGGGGCATCGGGCTGGAGCTCGTGCGGCAGCTGGCCGCCAGCCCCCGGCCCCCCCAGCACATCTTTGCCACCTGCCGCGACCCCGAGGGCCCCAGAGGGAAGGTCAGTGCGGGAACAGGGAATGGGATGGTGCTGAGCCAGGTGGGCAGAGGGGATCCGCGGTCCCCACAGCCCTGTTGGCTTGCTGCCCTGGCTGGGTAGCCCAGGAGTGGGGGCAGAAGTGTTCTGGGGGTGTCATAACCCCCCCAGCTCCCTGGATAAGGCAGTGCCCAGTGTGGCCGGGTGGGATGAGGCTGGAGAGGCAGACGTATTCAGCACTCACTCCTGGCTGTGCCCATGGCTGGCCAACCCCTTTTCTGTGCTGGGATCACTCAGGAGGGGGGACAGTTCCTAAGCCCAGCAGCACCATTCTCCTGCTGGCTGTGGGGTTGCTGCCCCACGCCATCCACTGGGAATGGCCCTGCGCTCTTTCCCCAGAGAAAGCAAAGCCACCCTGGCTCAGTGACCTGGGAGCAGGGGTGGGACACCTGACCATGCAGCTGGTGGCTTCTAACCTCCTCCTTTGCCCCATCACTTTATTTCCAGGCCCTGCAAGAATTAGCTGCCCAGCACTCCAGCATCAAACTGGTCCAGCTAGGTATGGAGCAACCTTTCTCCTTGTACCCAACATTGCTTCCAGCTCTCTGGTGACTTTGGAGGTGGGAGCAGGGACAGCTTTTGCAGGAAGCTCTAGCCCTGCCAGGTGGGGAGGGATCCATGGGGAGGCATCCATGCACACCTGGGCAAGCTTCTCCCTGCAAATTAAGCTGTGCCCTGGCTGGAGCAGTCAAACTGGCTTCAGAGGAGGCAGAGGTGGGTCCAGGCATCTCAGCTGAGCAAGTGTCATGGGAAAGGCATGACGTCTCTTCCCAAGGATACTAAATACAGTGCCCAGGTTTTGGGCTGGGACATATGGGTTCACAAAGTGAAGCAAGGCAAGGCACAGTAGCTGCCTGGATGGTTCCTAAGTAGGAGGGTTGGTTTGGGATCTGCTTGGAGGTGGCCATGGTTGGCATTTCTTTCAGGTAAAAAATGGAGGAAAAAAATAGCTAAAAATGACACAGGGGAACTCTGCCCAGCCTTGTAGCCTGGTATCCCAGGCTGATGCTCTGACCCAGAGGCACAGGACTGAGTCCATAGCTTGGACTGGGGAGATGTCCTCTTGGCCATTCCCTCCTTCTATGGATGTGGGCCAAACTCAGTGACCTTTTTCAGCAGCATTTGGGAGAAGCACAAGGCAGCAAATAGACCTAGGCAGCACAGGGAGAACAGCCAGGCTGGAACTGGAATTGGCAAAGTTGGGGTATTCACAGAAAAGAAGCTTCCAGGGTGCTGGACAGGGACAGGGTCTCACTGGGGAGGACAGTGTTTGGGTGAAGAGTGGGGAGATAAGGAGCTCCAGGCTGAGGATATGTCTTGAGAAGCAGAGATTTCCTGTGTTCCCCTGTCTTAGAGAGTGGGGGCTGTTTTTATTAATGAAGAATTAAAAGAACATCTAAATACAAAAGAAATGTTTTGGCAAAGTGCCTGCTCTAGGATTGCCATTGCTGTAAAAAGTGAGGTAAGAAGCAGCCATAGCTTCTAAATATTTGTATTTCATTGAAGCCAATAATAAGAAAACTGATTCAAGGCTATTCTGTATCGGTACCTACCTATCTACCTACCTGTTTATTTGTTTAAAAGCACCTGAAAAATTCAAATAACTTCAGTTCAAGTTCAGCTTTTTAAATATTTCTTAGAAAATAAGACATTCTTGAATTCAGGCTTTACTACAAAGAGGCAGCAAATCTCTCTTTTGCTATTAAGTAGATATTAAAGTAAAATACCTTCTCTGTAATAAAAAATAAATGAGCTGTGAGCCCCAACTGGCAGTACCTGATGGGAAGAGCATGGCCAACATAAAGGGACATCTCAAGGGACTGGCCACAACATGAATAATCTTTTCTAAAAACACACACCCCAAGCCCCAACTTGTCAATAAAGTCCCAAAATATGCTTAAAAGCTCTTAAATATCAACAGCAACAAGATACTTCTTAAAAAGAGAAGTTGCTTCAAGCTCTCTTGCTCCATAAAAACAAAGAGTTGTCTTCAAAACAACTCTTCAAGACTCTTCAGGAAGAAAAGTTTAAAAAATAACTCAAAAATGTGTAAGATCTGTCACTTCTTTTCATTCTCTCTTTCTTTCCCACCCTTATTTCTTCCAGGGAGACAAGCATTGGTTATTTCACCAAATTTGGGGGTTAAGGACTAAAAATGTGTTGGTCCCACATGCTTGGGAGCAATGACTCAGCTAATCCAAACAGAGCAGTTAATCATTCACCAGGTGACCAAAAAATCCCTCACATGTACTGGAGTGACAGAACCTGGACCTTCATCCCATTGTTATCCAAAGAAATAACTCCAAACTGCTCTGTGATTTGTCCTGCATCTAGACATGCAAAATCCTCTTGAATCCCAAGACTCCTTCCCCTCCCAGCAGCCCCACAGCAGATTATCCCATGGTGTTCCCCTCAAATGTTTTTAGGACACCTCTACAAAGGTCTGGGCTGCACAACACAAGGTAGCAACAAGTCCCATGTTGCTCATATACTTGCTTACCACCATAAAGACATCAGGGTAGTTAAAAATGCCAGGTAAAGGATCCTTTTGCTGCCCATCAGTGTATAAATATTCCAAGAAAGAAATCTTCAACCTTGGAAACTTTTGGTAAGTCACTCTTTTCCAAGCAGGAGAACAGAAACATAGCCCAGGGGCCAAAGTGTTGCAAAAAAATAAGGAATCTGCAGTCCCCCATTCCCAGCAGGCTCATCACATTGGCATCTGCAAAAAACAGGCACAGAAATGTGCATGGGAACAAGGGCACACTCCAACTTGCCCATACATGTGAATATTCATGGTTTTAAGGGCTCTGTGGTATACCTGAGGTATTAAAAAGCAATATATAAAGTTTAATGTTGGCCTAATCAGCCTGTTTCACATTCTGAAGGTATTCAGATGACCTTTTTAAATAAACAAATGATGGCCACTTCAGCTGGTGAGCATCCAGGACAGGATGTAAATCCTAATAAGCAATCCTGACAGCTGGACACAAACTTAAAAAACCACCACTTTTATTGCCTAAGTCAGAAAAATCCTGCAATTAAAGCATGGCAGAACTTCAAAAGATATACCAATACTTAAGCAAAGAGGAAGGCACTGGGGATGCTTATCCTTGTTAGGCCAATTTCAGTTGTGCCTAGTTACTTGAGAGGGGCTGTCTCCACAACTTAGTCAGTAGGGATAGGGAAGTTCAGATTCAGAGCCTGCAACCAAATGCTGCAGGCTACATCCCAAACCTTTTATTACTTGTACTCACTTCAGCTCATCTGTCAGCTCCAAAACCTTGTGGGTAACAGCATGAAGAAAAAAATGGCTCCCTGTGGAAATAAACTTAGGGGTCTCAGTGTGCAAGGACCAAGCATCCCTTGTACAATCATAAATTCCTTGGATACAGAAGCAAATGCAGGCAAGTTTTTCCTACCAGTAGCCCCCACGTGACCTAAAATGAGTTTAATTAAAGTTTAATTCAGCTGAGGCTGCAAAACCAAGAGGTGAGGACAAACTGCTGCTCATTTCAATGTGCTTAATCTGCTAAACCTGCTGCATCCTTTCTGGATAACTTTGCTTTTTCCCTGGCAGACACAGTGAATTTGCCCAGCATCCAAAGAGCCATGCAGGCTGTGGGGTATCATCTGAAGGACCAGGGCTTGAACCTGCTCATCAACAATGCAGGCATTAGCTCCCATGCCACACTGTGCTCCCTGGACTCACAGGAGATGCTCAACGTGTTTGCCACCAACGTGGTTGGGCCACTCCAGGTTGTCAAGGTATGTCTGGACCTTTTACATTTCTCCTGCTTGGGAAGATGTTCCCTGATGGGAATAGGGGGACCTCTGTTGAACCCCCCCACCTACTCAGAGGAGCTCAGCAGCTTAGTCCAGCCCAGCATCACCCATGCTTAGTTCTTCCCCACCTGGAGTGGCTGCCTGCTCCAGGCTCACTGTGCCAGCTCACTCCTTTCCTGGGAATGGGAAAGGCTGGAGCCTGGCCCCTCCTTGGGGCATCTTCCCCATCCCCTGCATTTCTGCCAGGAGTGTCTGTCCAGCTGCTTGTCTGCAGTCTGTGACAGAGCCCTCCAGGATGGTCCTCAAATTGGGGTTCTGTTGCATGTTAATGGAGCGTTGGTGTCTTTGCATCAGGAATTTCTGCCGCTCCTGGAGCAGGCGGCGAAGGGAGAGGGAAAGGAGGGTCTGAGCTGCAGCAGGGCTGCTGTCATCAACATCTCCTCCAAGCTGGGCTCCATCGGGCTGTGCCTCCATGTGCCAGAGGCCCCCATGTACCCGTACCGGGCCAGCAAGGTGAGCTGCCAGGGGAGGTGCAGGAGATGCTGCCTCAGGCACAGTCCCCGTGGAGGGGAGGGAGCCCCTGGGTCACCCCCTGCCCCAGCCACCCCCCCCCCCCCCCCGCCTGGTTCTCCCAGGTGGCAGCACAGAGACTGGGACAGCAGCAGCCAGGACTGAGCCATTCCAGCAGGGCGTGCTGATGCTTTGTCGCAGGACCAAGTCCCATTTCCCATCTCCACAGACATTTTGTGGCTATGAAATGTCTCCTCTCCTGCCCACCCACTCCCTGGGTTGTGCTGGCAGGGCTGTGCCTCTTGCAGGCTGCCCAGAACATGGTGACGAGGTGCTTGGCTGCAGAACTCCAGGACAAGGGGATCTTGTGCATGGCCATCCATCCTGGCTGGGTGAAGACTGACATGGGCACAGAGGAGGTACTGGGCTGTGCAGGGGAGGGTCAGCAGGATCCCCACTGAATCCCCATGTCCTGGGGAGGGCAGAGGCACTTGGAGGATTTTGTGTGATGCTGTGGGCTGCCAGGACCATCTTCTGGAGCAGAGCAGGCAGGGAGCAGGCAGCAAGCTGCAACATACTGAGTACATAGGATAGCCAGCCCTGTCTTCCCAAGCCAGCCTGGAGAGGTGTGGCAGTAAGGAAAAATATCCCCGTGAGCACCATGGATGCTGCTCCCAGGCATGCACCCTCCTCAAGAGCTGCTCTCTGTTACAGCTCATTGTCCTTTTCTGCAGGCACCACTGACAGTGGAGCACAGCGTGAGGGGCATCCTGACCGTGCTGGCCAGCCTCTCACAGGACACCTCTGGAGCCTTCCTCGACTGGGAAGGGAACAGCCTGCCCTGGTGATGGACAGATGGATGGCACCTCTTGCCCATGCTGCAGCCTCTGCTCGCTGGCTCACCACGCTGCATGGTCACCCCTGCTCACTCCCAGCCCTCCCCACACTGCTGGGGAGAGGGAATCAGCTTGGGAAACAGCCTCTCTCTCCTTTCCCACACCATGTGTTCCCTGTGCTCCCTCTGTACCCCTCACTCTGTAAACTCTGGCAGCTGATGCATCTCTGCTCTGTCTCCACACCCAGTCTCAAACCCCTGTCTGAGCCCAGGGCACGATCCCTGTGCTCTGCCCGAGCTTTGTGTGTCCCTCTGTCCCACCTGTGACCAGGCATCCCCCAGCTGAGGGCAGAGGGCAGCTGCTCCCTGTGACCCCCAGCCCCTCAGGCAGCTCAGCCTGGGCAGGGGAAAGCCAGTCCTGCAGGAGCTCAGAAGATCTCTCTCCTCTCAGGACATGGGCCCTGCTCCAGCTCCTCCAGTGCCTCCTGGAGGGGAGGTCTCCAGAGGGCAGTCACGGTGCCATGGCACCTGCTGGCTGGAACTCATGGGGATGCCAGTGACAGCCATGGGTTGGGGCAGCTGCGGGCACCACCAATCCCCAGTGCAGGAGTGGGATATCTGGAAAGGGTCACCCCATGAGCTGGCACTGCACAACAGAGCTGGAGGTCTCAGCAGGAGTTTATTGAGGATGTGGGGGAGGTGGGAGCAGTGCCAAAGGGACCTCTTGGCTGCCAGGATCCTGCAGTGGTGCCTCACCAGGGGACGACGTTGCCTTCCCAGTCCAGGAAGGTGCCGGTGTCCTTCTCAGAGAGGGAGGAGAGGACCTTCAGCATCCCTTGCACGCTGTCATCCACTGTCACTGGGGGCTGTGGGGCACAGGGGGAGATGCAGCCCATGCCCAAGGCCTGGCTGAAGGCCCTGGAGCAGCTGGAGCCAGGGGAAAGAGCTGCTCCAGGGCAAAGGGAAAACTGAAAACCCCAGGGGGAGGGACTGAGACGAGAACTGAGGGCACGGGGACACCCAGCACCCAGCACCCAGGACCAGGACAGCGGGAGCTGCCCCAGCAGGGATTGGGCAGGCAGGGAAGCCATGGACAGGGGCTCAGGATAGCAACTCCCACGGATGCAAAACCAGCACAGAAGCTCTGATGGACCCGCCCCGGGGGAATTCCTACCACGCCTCCGGCAGAGCTGCCCAAGTCAGTTTGCACCCAGCCGGGGTGGAGAGCGACGCAGAGGATGCCGTGCTCCTTGTACGCCAGGGACTGGCACTTGCTCAGCATGTTCAGAGCAGCCTGAGGGGAGACAATGCAGGGACGGTGGTGAGAGGGGAAGGGGGGCTGCAAGGGAACCCACAGCTGGCCAGGGAAAGCAAAGGTGTGACAGCACCTTGCTGCAGCGGTACGAGGTGACTTGTATCAACTCCCAGCCAAAGGCAGAAGTGATGGAGCCACCAATGCTGGATATATTGACGATGGCAGCCTTGCTGCAGCTCAGCCCTGAGCCTGGGCTCCCCTGGGCAGCCTTCTTCAGCAAGGGCAGAAACGCCTGTGAGGAGATAGAGGGGACAGGAGCACACATGGACAGGCAGGGGAGAAGCTCCTTCCACAGTGGGCAACATTGACACCAGCACTGGGGGGGCATCCTCCCTCCTCTTCCCTGCCAGGCTCCAGCTCCTGAGCTCCAGCCCATAGCTCCACAAGCTTCTCATTAACTGAGAGCCCATTGGTAATCAGAATGGAGGCAGGATTCCCTCCCACCAGCCCTTCATGCTTCCCCAGGACAGCCCAACTTGGGTGAGGGTCTCACCTGGCCCATCAGCAGGGGGCCAACTGTGTTGGTGGTGTAAATCTCCCTCATGTCCTCCGATGTCTCCGTATCAAGCGTGTTCAACTTCACAATTCCAGCATTGTTGATGAGGAGGTTCAGCCCAAAGCCCCCCAGGTGCTCCCCAACCTTGGCTGCAGCCGCCTTGATGCTGGGAGGGTCAGAGACTTCTGCAGAGCAAACACAGGGGAGGTCAGAGCCTGTGTCCCCATGCTGGAGTCCCCTCTGTTCCCCCAGAGGTGGCAGTGCCCGATGGCCCTGCAGGCACCAGCCCATGGCACAGCTCCCTCCCAGCACGGGGCTCCCAGGGCGTGCCCAGCCTGGGCACTTGCCAGAGGAACTGGGGCAAAGGATCCGCACCTCGGGGCACCTACCGAGTGGGATGATGATGATGTTGGGGTGCTTGGAGGCCAAATTCTGTAACTCCTGAAAGAGAGGGCACTGTGTAGGCATGGAGAGGCTGGAGGGGCTGTGCAGAGGCTCAGCTGTTCCCAGGCAAAGCCCATGCCACTCCATCTCTGTCCCTGCATCACTTTGTGTCCAACACCTGCTCCAGCTGCCACATCAATGGGGCTCTGTGCCTTCTATACATGCCTGGTGCCATTCTCCCCTCCACATATCCCATGCACAACTGGTCCTGTGGTGTCCCAAGCCAGCTGACCTGTGCTGCAGGTGCTTGACTGCAGCTCCAGCCCATTGCAAACACCATTCCTGATCCAGTCTCCCCCTGCCCAGTCTCACCTGTGCTCGCTGTCCCTTGGGGTCCCGACAGCCTGCAAAGATCCACTGAGGTGGGTTTGGCATCCTCAGGAAATGCTGGACGAGCCCCAGGCCGAGTCCCCGGTTGGCCCCAGTCACCAGAAGGGAGCGGACGTGGAGCCCTGCCATGCTGCCCTGGCTGTGGCTGCACTGCTCTCGCCTGGACTCTGCCAGTGCCTTTTGCTACTTGGTTATCTCACATGTTCCCATGAGGACTTGCATCAGCTCGTGGCTCTCAGAAATTCTCTGCCTGCACCTCAATCTCTTGGCTCTGGTCCATACCCGTGATCCACTTTTCCTGCTGGCTGTGGAATGATGCAAAGGGAGCCAAGTGTCCTGCCCAGGCAGGGAAAGCCCTGGGCTAGGTGTCAGGAGTGTTGCTTTATGCTACCAGACCTGAGCCTTTTGGTTTTAAGGGCCAGCACTATCCCTGTCCTTGCAGTGCAACACCATCTCCCACCATCTCCCTCCCTCCTGGGATGCCAGGCCTGTCCCTCCCTTTGCCCAAGGTCAGGCAGGCGAGGCTGGACTTGCTGACTCTGCACAGTGCAGTTTATTTGCCTTAGTTTGTGCAATGCCGAGGCCAGGGCTGGGGATAGAGCAGTCAGGACAGGTGAATGTCCCTTGAGGACTTGAGAATAGAGCAGCCAGGACAGACAAATGTTCCTTAGCCACAGGAATAGGCTGAGAAACCTAGAAACCCTCCAGAACCACTGGGAAAAACCCTCCAGGGCTGACCACAGTGACCCCTTTCCTCAGAGTCTGCTCTAACAGCACCTATAATATTCAAGTGTGATAGAAGGATAACCCCTGCCCCATCCCTGGAAGTGTTCATGGACAGGCTGCATGAGCCTCTGAGCAACCTGGTCTAGTGTAAGGCATCCCTACTTGTTCAGGGGGGTTGGAACTAGATGGTCTTTAACATCCTCTCCAGCCCAAACTATGGCTCTGTGATGCTATGATAAAATTCAGATTTGCCCCTGGGTGTGACTTTGGTGCAGGTGGGAGCCAGGGCCGTGCCCAGGCACACACACTGCAGGTGAACATCCAGCCCCAGGGTGGTCCAGGTACTGCCCAGCTCTTTCCTGCAGTACTGAGCCAATTGATGGACTGAACTCCCAGGGAAGCATGTGACTGGTGGATCCAGGAGCTTTGGACAGGCCTGAGGATCGCTGAATTATAGAATCATCCCCCAGGAGTTCCTGTTGCACCTAAAATCAATGGAGAACCATGACCTGCATGTTTCCCTGTGTCCCCACCCTGCAGGGAGGGTCTGGGCATCTGATGGATGATAGATAGATTGTACTTGGTGGTCTTAGGGGTCTTTTCCTGTCTAAATGATTCTCTGATTCTATGATCCCATGGCGTCCCCAGCTGGTTCCTGCTGCAGCATCACTCAAACTGCACAGACCATTTGCAACAGTGGAATATACACATCTAAGATAGTTCAGAGATGTTGTGTAGGTAGTTTAAAGTAATTAATAACCACTTATACGGGATGTGATTGGGCAGGACTAGGGTGCATAAGCTTGTGGAACCTCTCCTGCTCCAGCTGGAGATGCTGCTCCAACTTTGCTTTGCAACTGGACAATGATGAGCTGTCATGTTCAGGAGATCTGATCCTCCATCCAAATGCAACCTTTCCAAATAAATCAGCTTTTGTCAGAAAGAGCAAACCCTGCTGCCTATTCTTCTGTGTGTTTGGTGAGTTGACCCTGGCTGAATGCCTCACATTCACCAAAGGCACTCTATCACTTCCCTCTGCAACTGGAAAGGGGAGAGGAAAAATGTAACAAAGGTTCATGAGTTGAGATAAGGTCCAGAAGAGATCACCCACCAAATACCATCACAGGCAAAACAGACTCAAACTGAGCATATCAACTGAATTTGTTACTAACAAAATCAGAGCAGGATAATGAGTAAGATAAATCTTAAAAATGCCTCCCCTCCACTACTCCCTTCTTCCCAGCTGTACCTCCCCCTGCTCAGCAGTGCAGGGAGGCAGGGAATGGGGGTTATGATCAGTTCATCCCATGCATTCCCTGCTGCTACTCAGGGAGAAGAGTTGGAGCCCTTGCCCTGCTCCAGCATGGGGTCCCTTCCATGGCAGACAGTTCTCCATGAACTTCTCCAATGTGAGTCCATGTCCTGGGCAACGGTTCTCCACAAACTGCTGCAACATGGATCACTCTTCCCTGGGCTGCAGTCCTTCAGGCACAGGCATGGCTGCACCATGGGCTGCAAGAGAATCTCAGCCCCGTGCCTGGAGCACATCCTCCCCCTCCTTCTGCACTGACCTTGGTGTCTGCAGAGCTACTCCCCTCACATATTCTCACTCTACTCTTCTCTGGCTGCAATTACATCTGCACAGTAACTTTTTTCTTTTCTTCTTAAATATGTTATCACAGAAGTGTTACCACTGTGGCTG